GCAGAAAGCATTCCAGATCCACCTAAAATACCCCCACCCCCACCTCCACTGCTGCCACCTCCACCTCCATCCCCTCCTCTGTTGCCACCACATCCTCCAGCTCTGCCCCCCGTGTCTCTTTCTTCATGTCTTCTTAGCACCCAGCACCTCTCCCCTGCAAAGCATTCAAAACCCCCTGCCAAACAGCCAGCTGTACTGCCACCGGCCCCAGTGCCAGAGCCACCTCCCCGTAGGGAGCTGAAAGGTATTCTTAAAAACATTCAGAATTTAGCAGCAATTGAAAAGTCCGTGGCCAACATGTACAGCCAAATAGACAAAAACCACGTTCTGCCCAAGCACATTTCTAAGCTCAAACCGGTTGCAACACCAGAGTTGCCAAATCCAGAGGCAGTGGCTGAGCACAACCAGCAGAATGGCAGCTTGAGCTGTGTTGTGGAGGAGCTTGAGAAACGCTTTCCATCCCAGTCGACAGCACTGTAATGTTTTCGGTTGGATGTTTTCTGCATGTTACATTTTGAGTGAGATGACTCTAATGCAGCACATGGTATCTGCCTCAGACTCTCCAGAAATTCAGACTTTTTCCTTTTCTCCGCTGTGTATCACTACTGAGTCCTAATCCCAAAATTGAGACTTTGTCTTACCTGTTTCCTCAGAAATTTGTAATGTATGATTTTACAAGTGGTTCTCTCAACACTACGTTGTACTGCTCTATGGCATTGGTTCTTAGTCTTTTTCTACCAGAACTGCTTGGGGAAAACTGTCTATTTGTACCCAAGGATCAGTCATAGGTGACAGAGGGCTTGATCCTGCATTATGATAAGCAGCCTTCACTGTAGCTAATACCACCAAGCAGAACAATTCTTCTGCGTCTGTAATGGGAATCTCTTGCTTTGCCCATAAAATGTACCACCTGGGAGGAATCTTGCTGTCAAATATTGGATGTCAAAGAAAGCAAGTGCTGATAGTAAGCAGGCTCAGCACAGTGAGCCAGCATTATTACAGAAATTCATCTTTTTATTGCGTGGGAGATGATGCAGTGCTCTGTTATGCTGGCTTGCTTTCTTTCAGCTCACATTTGCATCTCTTAAGTCAGGAGAAGGTTTTTCTGTAGATTTGTCAGTAAACCCGTCTGTTTTCCCTCATGTCACTTACATGCCTTCTATTGCTTTTTTATATATATATTGTAACTGCATGTTTAAAGTTTTTATTTTGTAAATGATTTAATGTACAAAGCATTTTTTTTTTATTTTGCATGTTCATGTTGATGTCGTCTCTCTAACTTTCATGCTAATTTGCCATGAACTTCAGTTAATACATCTTGCTTATCTTAAAATGTAATAAAGTCATTCTGATTAGTGTCACTAAGTGAATGGTTTATAAGTACTTGTAAAAATCCATGTAATATGGATTTACTTACTGGCTTTTTTGCTCACAGTTATCTAAATCAGACCTTTGCATTAATTATGTCAATTAGTTTGTCCTTTGAAACAAATGGTAAGTAAAAGCATTTTGGCATTTAAGAGAACGTTAGTTTGGTTCAACCTGCAAGTTTCATTTAGTTCTTTGCCAAAATGAAGAATATTCATGTTTAAAATGAATATTTTTTAAAGCGGTGGTAAAGGCATATATTACAGAATGAAGAAAAATTAAAATTCAGTTCAATATCAAACATATAATTATGAGCAAAAAGGTACTTATTTATCAGAATGTCTAGAGATACTTAGCATTTCTGTGGTGCTTGGCTTTTTCTCTCTTTTTTTTTTTTTTTTTTAATCTGCGGTTAGGACATGTATGGATGCTTCAGTCGGAAACTGCTGAAGGTAGTTTGTCTTTTTTTTTTTTTTCTCAGAGCCAAACTTCATGATCTCCATCATGCAAGTTTTGCTGATGTATTAGAATTTTTCTATGCAAAATGAAGTCCTGCACTCTTCTTGTGCTAGATTGTAGTTCCAAGACAGGTAACGATTAGGAACTGTACCCAAACATGTGCAGGGAATGATTATCCATTACAGCATTTTTACTGTAAGAGTCAATATAATTTGAGATTCACACAGATAGATTAGCTGCCCATCATACTAAATAGCTCTGAGTGGCGCAACTGCAGCACCAGCAGCAAACTGTCAAAGATTAGCGCTATTAGACAAACGTTTAAGATTTAAGATCCAGAATTGGAAGATGGCTTACATGTGTGCCTTCTTCTGTGTACTTCTTGTGGTCCAGGTGTGGAGGCAGTGGGACAATTGAAAGTGTGCACAGATGAGCATGAGAAGTTACTGTGCTAAGCGTAACAGATGCTTTTGTGTAGCTCTCTACATCACTAGTAAAATACTAGACAAATACAAAATAAGTTTGCAGTGTATAGTGTCATACAGTAGAGTTGCAGGTGCTTAGTAATTCAGAAGATAAACTTCAAAGGTTTTATTCAGCTACAATTATCTGTAGCATTCCGTAGGTAGAAAGGTTGGACGTCACACAAAAACTCCATTTTAAATATTTCATCCAATCACTCAGAAGAGTCTGTGGGGGTCGTGGTAATCAGCTCTTCACTAATGAGGAGCACCTACCTTTTCTAATTCTTTAAACCCTTATTAAGTTGGAGGGTTTATGAAACCTAATTTATTTTTGACTGTAATTAATGCAACCTTTGTTCTTTAGTTCATTTCTTGAACAGCCCTTATTAAAAAATAAAAATTGATTAGACTGGGAAATAAACTATACCAATAGCATGTATTTTAACCTACTCTAGGGAGGTTCTGTCCCATTGAAATATCTGGGTGCTACTAGAGCTCTGCAGCACTAGGAAGTATGACAACCAATACGCTACTTGGCAAAATGTTGACTGTATACAAGCTTATTGACCCCTCCTTGGGTTGTCTGGGTTGTCCAATTTATTTTATTACTGTCAGATGTGACCCTGGATATAGCCCTGGTCCTTTTATCGGAAGCTTGACTGGGTTGAGTCCTGAGCAGGAGCAGAGATTGCATCTGTGGAGAACTCTTCTTGCCTTTGAACTATCTGCAAAGCTGAAATGAAGCAGTAATCATCTCATCTCCCCTCCAGGTTCTTGTTCTCTTTAGATTCTAGTTATGAACTGCAGGAAACCTCCATTTCAAGAGTTGGGGCAAACTGATAAGCAGTTGTCTCCACTGAGTAGTATCTGTAGTATTTGGATTTTATGATTCTTACACTTTTAATGTGAAAACAGATAAAAAATATGAAATAGCAAATGCCTGGTGGGATGCCAGTAATTGGGAAAATTGTTTTTTTACGCAAATCGCAGTTCTTTAACTCATGTTAGCAGCACAGTCCTGTGAAGGTTGCCAGTGTTTGTACATGTAAATTCATTCTTGTTTCATCTGTCAAGTTAGCACCAAGAGTGTGTAAGTAGGTGCCATATTATCCTACATCATCATAGGCATTATGTTCTTGCTTTCCATTTTTGCATTGAAGATTTCTCTCTGACTGTAGTGAAGTCTAGCTGCTAATGTCTATCCAGAAGCAATTCCTCCCTCAGTGGAGAGCTTTAAGTTCCTTCCTGGAAACAAATGATGTTGTTTTGACCTTTGGCTTTTTCTCAGAATAGAGATCCTTGCGCTGTATTGAGTGAATGGACATTTTTTGTCGAGCTATTTTTTCTTCTAATCGTGACCACACAAAACTGTAAGAAAAGTATATGCATCTCTAAACACAATGTGGTGCTATTTTTAAGAAAGTTGAATTCCAAATTCAATTAGAATTCTTTATAGTACGATTTTAATCTGTGATGCAGTGACTACTCAAGAACAATTAAGATTAATAGGCTTACTTATCCTCTCTGCAATACAAGACCTTCTTTTTCTGAAGATTGCTGTAGGCGATAGGGAAACTAAATACAGTGTTGCTCAAGTGGGCTTTGAAAAGTCACATATTGTCTTGTGATGATAAATCTTCATTTCAGTTGTTCATTAGTTTCATATTATATGGGCAACAGCTTTAATGTAATTCTGATAATCAATTCCATGTGTTGAATATTAATAGAAAATTTTAGAGATGATGATAGTAAAGAATAATAAGGACTTGTACTCTGTTCTTTATTGTTTACTCAAGTGTAATTAATGAATTTCCCTAGACTGCCGTCTGCATAGTAGGTTAAGCTCAGCATACTTCTGAGCATTTATTCTTCCCTTCTTAAAAATAAAATTAAAAAATTCCATGCCTATCCTTAATAATAATACCAAATTGCTGTTTGCTATCTTTGTATAAACCATTATAATCTTCTGGCACAAAATGTGAAAATGCAGACCTTGATAGATGTAAGTGCATTTGTCATGCAATGCGAATGGCTCCAAGAAAATGAATTAAAACAACAACAACAAAAATCCAACGAGATCAACAGTACAAAGCCTGTGGCAAAATAATCATAGATAGCTAAAATAATGTAACTCCCCTCTGCTGAGCAAGTGTTAGGAAATGTGTAATTTTAATAATAATGTGTTAAATTACTAATAGAAGCTTCAGGCCAATTTCTAGCAAGTCCTTTGTGGATAACGAAAGTCCAGAAGCAGTAGAGAAACTGTTCACTGCTTAAACACTCAGGTGAAATAACAGAGTCTCTGTAGATGGTGTTTGTAGGTCTGAGACAACAGAGAAGGTGACTTGGCAGGGCCTGTCTTGGAGAGAGAAAGGAAAAACCAAGCACAGCATTTACCCTGCTCCCCTTTGCTGTGTTGCACTGGGTGCACTGGCTCTCTGGCTTGTGGGGATTGGGGATTTCTTCTCATTCATTTGCAAGCTAAAGCAAGAAAAGATCCCAAAGACTCACTGGCCTTTCTCATGCAATAATTTGTATGTGCAGAGCAAATCTAAAGAAAAACATATTTTATATTGTAGATATGTATTTCTTTTCTTGCTAGTAATCGCATTTTCTTTTCATCTCTCCAGAAAGAATGGCAATATGCATCTTATGCAGTCTAGCAGAAGTATACTAATACTTTTTTTTTTTTCTTTTTCTGACTTCAAGGCGAGGATATGCACAGCAAGAGGTAAGGCTGTTCCCTAGTTACATTTAAATTACTAATTATATCAGCAAACTTTTTCCATTCAGACCTGTGTTATGAAACAATGGCTATTTTAGAGACCGTAAATACAAAGTGGTTCAAAAAGCGTGTATGTATTCACGAGCTGTCCTTTTCAGTGGTAGCTTGGAACCATCGTGGCACAAATGTAACCTCCAGGCCAGGAGACTGCTGCTTGACAGCCTGCCAAAAAGTTCTGTAGGGCATTGCTTCCATTGCTTGCTGTGTTTTACTACAGCAGATCTAATCATCTGCTGCTGCCCACTGTCACGGGCTCAGTACAGACATTTTCTTTAACCCACTGTGGCCTGTCCCTGCAGTGTCTTTCTTCCAGCAATGAGTTACATGAAGAATTTTCTCCAGAATCTAAATCTAAATGTAAATGAACTGATTGAATAATGACAAAGTTCTCTGACATCTGACAGATAGTGTTTCTATCATAAAGGTTGGTATTTACTCATGAGTGCTTTATCATTTTTATTAGTCTTAGGATGAGCTTCTGGAGGCTACTGTTCCTTATTCAGTAGTTTGTTGTGCTTTGATTTGGCCTCCTGATTTGCAGAGCTGATTTATGTCTCACAATTCAGCTACAGAGCTTTCCTGTCTCCCAGGGTTTGGTTTTGGGCTGAAATAGTGCCACCAAATTTTGGGAGGAGTATTCAGATAACAGTATTGATCTCCCTGAATAAATCTGATCCTAATTTACAAAACTGCAAATTAATGCATATTAGTCTAAGTCATTTACAGAAAACTGGAGGTGCAGACTAAATAACAAAGCGACTGCTGAAAATGACCTGTGTTTAACTATGATGCACCATGTAGGTCTGTCAGTCCTCTCTGTGCGAGCTCCAGGGGTCTCTCTGCTCACCCCAGCATGCTGTTCTCACAGTGTCCTGCACAGAGTAAGGTATCACAGATAAGCTGTAAAGAAAGTGAGATAATGTTTCACTATCTAATTGGGATTGTGAATTCAGGTCTATTTGTGGTTGCAAGGCATTCAGTTAAAAGCTACAGAAGTACAGAAATACAGATAGAGGACTGAAGTGATGGTACTGCAGCAGAAGCTTGGGGTAGAAGTCAAGGTACTTCAGGTTTTTAGTAGCTGAATTAGAGGCTTTTCTACAAACCCATAGGTTTGTTTTCTACCCATTGTGGGGAATTTTTGTTTGCTGTTGCTTCCCTGCTTTCTACAGCACACACAACAGAATAATTCTATTGGGCTCTGATAAAATTCCTTGAGCTAAATAATCTAGAGAATCACCACATAAACTGGAAAGTTGATTTCGGACTATAAAGTGATAATACAAGAGTAGGTGCTCAGCAGTTTTCTCCTTCTCAGTGAATATGGAAGCACCCGGGTGACTGCCATATGAAAGGCTCTAAAGGACCTGTGTTGTTAAGATTTCTTTCCAATCTTAATTCTGACACAAATGACTTGTGTTTTAATTGTTACTGCCTAATTAACACCTTTCTAATTTTCTTCTGTAGCAACAGCAGTTGCTGAGACCTTCTCTTCTTAGACCAGAGGTACCAGTATTTTTCATGTCTTAATTGTTCAATAACAGTTTAAAACGGCTTTTACATTATTTCCTAATCAAAACTGATCTTTGCTGGGTAATTTTTTTCCTGACTGTCTTAGATGAAAAGGAAGGTTCTAACACTTGTTAATCCATTTATGTAGTTTTTAAATACCCGAAATTTATTGTCTCTTGTTATTTTGGCTGCTCATGGCTTGGATGAATATCCTGTTCACTGGATGAAGAACTGGCTGGATGGCTGGGCCCAAAGGGTAGTCATGAATGGACATAAATCTGGTTGGTGGCCAGTCACAAGTGGTGTTCCCCAGGTCTCCGTACTGGGGCCAGCTTTGTTTAATATTTTTGTCAACCATCTTGATGAGGGGATAAGTTTGCAGACGACACCAAGTTCTGTGTTGATCTGCTTGAGGCTAGGAAGGTTCTGCAGAGGGATCTGGATATGCTGGACTGATGGCTGCATCCAGTCGTATGGCATTTAACAAGGCTAAGTGCCAGGTGCTGTGCTGGGGTCCTAACAACCCCACAGTGTGCTACAGGTCTGAGGAAAAGTGGCTGGAAAGCTCCCCAGAGGAAAAGGGCCTGAGGGTGCTGGTCCACAGGTGCTGTACATGAATCAGCAGTGTGCCCAGGTGGCCAAGAAGGCCAGCGGCATCCTGGCTTGTATCAGAAATAGCATGGCTAGCAGGAATGGGGAAGTGATTGTCCCTTGTACATGGCACTGGTCAGTCTGCACCAGTAGTGTTGTGCTCAGATTTGTGCCCTCACTACAAGGAAGATGGTGAGTTGCTGTGATGCCTAGAGAGAAGAGCAACGAAGTTGGTGAATGGACTAGAAAGTAGGACACATGAGAAGCAGGTGAGGGACCAGAGGTTGTTTAGTCCGGAGAAAAGGAGGCTGAGGAGAAATCTCATTGCTCTCTACGACTACCTGAAAGGAGGGAGTAGTAAGGTGGGTGTCTTTCTCGTCTTGGCTGACAAATGTTAGGGCAGGAGGAAATGGCCTTAAGTTGTGGCAGGGGAGGTTTAGATTGGGTATCAGGAAGAATTTCTTCACAGGGAGCACAGTCAGCCATTGGAATAGCCTGCCCAGGCAAGTGGTGGAGTGGCCATGCCTGGAGGTATTTAAGAGATGTGTGGATGTGGAATTTAGGGACATGGCTTAGTGGTGGACTTGGTTGTGTCAGGCTGATGGTTGGACTTGAAGATGTTAAGGGTCTTTTCCAACCTAAATTATTCTGTGATTTTGCCCTTGAGCATCTTTAAGTTGCTCCCATGTGCTTCATCACACAGACGGAAAGCTATCCTAGCTTCATGTCCAGACTCACAGAGAGAATAATTCCCTTGCTATTCAAGCATGATCTATTTTTTCAGATAATTGGTCAACTGATAATCGATGATTGTACCTGGAGATGAACTAAGCAGTTGGCCTGCCAAGTTAATGGATGTATTAGTACGCTGCAGTGAAGTGCAAAGACAGTTCTTGTTTATAAACACAATACTTTCTGTTTCAAATCTTTTAGACCCAATGTGATTCCCTGAATAAGCAAAGTGTATTTGCAGTGAGTGGATGGGAGATTTATGCAGGGTAAGTGAGACAGTGTCCCACACCAGCAAGCGCCTACATTTAGCTGACTTAGAACAGTCACTCCCAGGACATACACCAGGGTGAGGGTCATTTAAAGCTTGTGTTGATTTCTCATTGTGGTTCTTGATGGATAACAGTGTTCCTTGAATTATTATAGTTCTTTTCTTTTTTTTCTTTTTTTTTCTTTTTTCTTCACTTGGATACTGTTCTTTGTGTCTTTTTAGTCAGTCAATTGGTGTTCTCTCTCAACAGGAATTAAGTATGGAGTCTGGAATTGATCCAGGGCAGGAATACTATGGACAAGATTACTACAGTTATGAGCATGGGTACATTTTCATTTTTCCTATGTATTTCTAAACATGCTGCTTTTCAAGGTTGGTGACGTTTATTATTACAGCGCCTAATCTGTAGACTTCCCTTCACCTCAGGATTACTTTAATCTTTGCATCCACTAATGAGTGTGCTGACACCAAAACTCACTTCTTGAAAGTTAAAGGGACATCGTGTAACTCCTTGCTTCTTCAGGAATCCAATTATTGCACCACAGTGTGCATACCCCATTTATCATGCCATTTTTATATTCTTTTTTATTTGCATATATCTGCTGTCTTGGAGATGAACTTACATAATCTCCTCCCCTTTTCTGGCTCACCAGCCTGAGTTCAGTGATACTTTCTGCTCATAGTTCCTAGCCAGCATCTGGGTTTTTACATTTACCTAGAAAAATATCATCCTGCCTTGTCTGGATAAAGTCTGTTTGACTGCAAGCACTTAGGGATTTTGGCTATTCTTACAAGCTTGCAAGGATTCTCCAGAACCGATCCTAGAGAATCTATTCTTTCATCCCTCAATTAAAAAAAAAAATAAAAAAAATCAGGTACCTGGAAAAGAAGGTCGTTACATCCAGGAGGTCCCAGAGACCTGGCAGCTGGGGTTCCCTCCGGTTGTAATGGGCGTTGGGCCAGTTGCAATAGTTTGTAGTTTGCACATTTGTAGCTGTGTGTGGAGACACACACGAGTACATTGATGCATGTTATAAAGAACTGATGGTGTCTTGCCAGGTATGAACTGCCTCAGTATGGGAGCCGCCGCAGACTGCTGTCTCCTTCGGGGATGTACGATGAGTATGGAGAAGTCGTGGTGGAGAATGATGGTGGCTACTACTACAGCCCACACGGATCAACAGCAGAAGAGGTAAGCATCTCTGGCGTGTTGAATCTGTCTCTGCAACAAGTCGAAGCATTGGTAAACCTTATCAAATGGATTTTGTAATTAGAATACTCTATATAGACCAAATAAGCAGCTCTTCCAATCCTATTCATTTGCTGTTGTGATGACCAGTAGAGTTTGTGTCAGAAATGAAAAGGAATTGCAAAGTTTCTTTTAATATGCACCTTAGTTTTTCCCTTAATGTAGATTTCTACTTCAGTGAAAATACACATGGCCTTAGGTAATTCCATTTTATGTTCTTAACTGAATGGAGTGTTACTAATATTCAGCCTATAACTGGCGATTTTCCAGTGAGAAAAATAGTCACCTGAACTAATTTAACATAAAGTTTACAACTGAATGTAAGGAAATTCTGAAATATCAGTGTCAGCCAGAAGAAATGTTAATTTTTTAAACTTAATATTCAGAATTACCAGACTTTTAATCCATCACATGGGTTTTTATTAAATGAGAATAGAGAACATTTATGAACCAGTATTTTCCCTGTTGCCAAGGCAAGGTAGTTGTGGACTTGCAGCCTCTTCTACGAGTAAAGCTTCCTCATAACTTTGGTAAAAAGCTATTCTAAAACAAGTAAGTTAGTTTTAATCCTGGGAAAAAATGTTGCATTTGTTCCTACTGACTTAGGCTATGAGTTTTTGTAATACCTATATTTCAAATTGTAATCAAGTTCCATTTTCATAATTTGCAGGGAATGAGTCAAGTCAGAGGTCCTTCAAGCAGAGGTATAAGCCAGAGAGCAGGGGCTCAAATAGAAGGTAGACCTTTAGGTGGTGGGATGGATCTAAGGTATGGCTCTGGAAGAGTATATAGAACCAGCCAGGGGAAAAGGAAACTAAAAGCAGTGATGCATTTAAGTCGTGTAGCAGTCAGTGCTCACAAACCAGTAGGAAGAGCTGAGTCTGCTCGTTCTCCGTGGAAGAAAGCAAAGATATTCCCAATGATTCTGCAGAAAGTGAAAGCCAGTAGGAAAGATTCCAGTTATGCCAAGTTGATGTCAGCTCGCCAAGTGGTTGATGAGAAAAGCATGATTATCAGGGGAAGTTACTTCCAGAAATCAACAGATGACAGACCTTCAATGAGAAAGCTAAATCACGTGTTAAAACGCATTAGCATCTCCAGAAAATTTCAAGATGCAAGAGGAAAAGGAGAGGAAGAATATGAAAGAGATGAAGCAAAATCAGGAGTTTCAATAAGCATCACAGCAGAGAGCGAACATGAGGATAGTGATTATGAGAAGGAGAAGAAGAAAAAGAAGAGAAGAAAATACTCTTCAGATGAGTCATCAGTGAAGAGTAGTAGCTCTGGCTCGGAGTCAGAAGATAAAGACTATTTGAAAGTAACTCTGGACCAAGATGAAGCCACTGAAAGTACTGTGGACTCTGATGAGGAAACTGGGCATGATTTGGGGGATTCAGATGATGAGTCTGGATCCAGCTCCAGCAGTGAATCAGAGGAGGACTCTTCTGAAGAGGATGGTGATGAGGAAGAGTCTGATAGTGATGAAGATGATAGCCTATCAAGGAGCTCAGTCTACACAAAGTTCATTCAGCAAATCGGGGACTAGTGAGTCCAGCAGTAGAAGAAGCATTGAAAGGTCAAGTATAAAAAGTAGGAGAGGTAGCTCTCGTGGTAGAGTGAGGCGATCCAGCCAGAAATCAAACATCAGCTCTACTGCATCAGGTACAAGCTACAGGAAAGCTTCAGGATCCAGCTGTAAGAGCAAAACTTCTTCTGCCAGCCTTGAAATAGAAGACACGATAGAAGAGGTTTCAGAAGAAGATGAACAAGAAGATACGGACCAAGCTGGTGCAAGTCCTGATGCAGATAACACAAACAATAGCGCAGTTTCTGAAACATCTGCAAATGCAAGAGCTGTTGCTAACAAAGAAGGCGAGAGAGGAATATCAGGAATTAATGGTGAGGATAGTGAGGATGAAAGCACAGAAGAGGTTGATACAGATGCTAGTGACAAGGAGAAGGCTATCAGTAAGAATGAATCTTCTTGTCTAGAAAGTGAAATCAGTGTTACTTCCAAAGGTACTGAAGGGACAGCTAGTGCCCCTTCTAGCAAAACTGCTACTTCCCCTGATACTGGGAATCAAAGTTCTGACACTATTATGAAAAGAAAGAAAATAGAAAAGATATCCCAGGAACACAGTCTAGTCTCAGTCAGATGAGACCCTCAATACTGCCATTACGGAGTCAGAGACTGCTGGTGATTCTACGTCCTTTTGAAAAACAACAACAGTAGGTGGAGATTTTGCAATAAGGCGTGATCTTGTTTGCTGTGCCTTCTGTGTGGTCTTTCCTAAACAATTCATGCTTGACTAGAGGTAGCCAAACAGAAAAAGGCAAAGCTTATTGCATCAGCATTTAAATCTTTTATGCTTTGTTAAGGATAGAACTATGGAAAACCAAACTAATAAAATTCCTCTGAAAGATTACTCAGGTATACTTACTGATGGATATAGAAGGACTTAACACTTGTTCTTTCTCTGCTAATTTCAGTAATGTAGTTAAAGAGACACTGTGCTAATTTTTTTTTACATTTAATGCTTTGGCATTATGTATATAGTGATGCAAAAGTACATGGCATTTTGCATTAGCTGTGATGGGTAGCTCAATAAGCGTGGTGGCACAAACCTGTTAAGAGCCCTGTGCTCAGGCAGGTTATGTCTGTGTCACAAAATAGCGCTTACAGGAAGGAAACGGTGCAAAACAGATGGGATTCAGTGGAGAACAGGAATGAGGATGAAGATATTTATAACTTAAAGGTCATAAATGGTTTCATCACATTTCACTAGCATATAAGCATTTGTTAAACTTCACCTGAGTTCTCTGTTGTTCCTCCCTATTTTCTGGAGGAAAACTAAAATTACAGCACAGTAATATTCCCAAAACTACTGGATATTACTAGCAGCACTGAGATTAAACTGCTTCTGGATTATGGGATTCAAGTATTGTTGATGTACGAGGCAGGAGTGCAGAGGTAGGTGTACAATGTGAACTCAATAAGAAGGGGAAATTAGGTATATTTTCTAACTTCTGCCTTTCCCACTTTACTGTGTGTGGTTTGGAATTTTTTTTTTTTTGGGGGGGGGCTGTTTTTTGTTTGTGTTTAATGAATATATTAAAAGTTTGAGATGCATAATGGCAAAGTATTGCTGGCTAACTATGTTCAGTATGTTGGTATTTATACCTTTTAAAATTCACTGTGCTGCAATATCTGATGTCATTCAATAGAGAAATCTTATAGTACATTTCTGCTCAGAATGAGCATGATTGCCTAGGAAGGATTTCTGTTATTTACAACTTAAGTTGTCATCTTTGTGTTTTCATATAAGAAACAATCCCTGCATGATTTACTGCGTTGCTGAGCTCTTATCCATGCTGCCAGCACACCAAGTATGAAAGCTTTGTATACACACAATCTATCTGTACTTCATCTGCCTTTTATCAAAAGCCAGAGAATTGTTTCTCAACCAGTTATCCAAATAAGCAACAGAAAGCTTAAATAAAATTAAAGCTTTGAGCCAGTATTGGATTAGTCTTATGAGTACTTTTGAGCTAGTACAAATTTGGCTTTGGGCATGTGCACCAAAGCTCTGCCAGGAAGTCTCTATTACAGGGAGCAAGAAAAATGTTTGAATTTTAATGATACTGATAATGATACTTCATAATGTTATATAATGATACTTCAGCCTGCTGGGGAGTTACCTTGGAAGGGCAATGGGTGCTGAGCTGTAAAACGTGATAGTAGCTTTTCATTTTCTGTCTGGAATTCCATTTGAGATGAGAACTGGGTTTATGATGACTCACTTTTTTGTATTCCCATATAGCACGAAATTGTAGCTGACATGATATTTTCCCACAGATCCCATTTAAACAAGTTAGTCTGTTCATCCACCTGAATACGTATGTGTGAAGAAAATTATATGTCTTTATCAGGAACAAATGAATAGGCCTATAAGTAATTTGTATAAAGTGTAACTTCTCAAAGCTTAAGAATTATCATCACCCGTTTCTCTCTGGCATGATATTCTTTCTCTAAAAACTGTCTTTTCTTAAGTGCATGTGTATGTATTGCAGTGGGATTTAACTGTGATGGTATCTGCTGCCTTAGTGAAACAACAGCGTTTGCTTTATTAATTCAAGAACAATGGTAGCTTGTTTAAGTGTATCACCAGAAATCAATCATAAATTAAGTAATGGGTTTTTTGTAATCAATATTAGTACAAAGTTCCTGCAACATGGAAATTGTTTGCATTAACTTGTTAAGAATGTGTATAGGTTACATAAAATCAAAAGTCTCATTTCTCCACCATCTTTTATTTAATAGCAAAGCATCTCCATTGGTTCCTCTAGATTGGAATTGGCACAAAGCCTTACATCAATCTTTCTAACCAGCCAATTTTGCCAACATCGTGCCTGAGAGTTTCCCTTGTGTAGGTCCTGAGACATTTTTCTCCTGGACATAGTGTGCATATAAAGTAGCTTTTCTCAATGCCGTTTCTGTGCAGAATTTACAATTCAGTAATACTCTGAATAAAAACTTCTAAGGCCTTCATAAGCATTTACCCCTTTGTGCAGTATTGTATTAGAAGTATCACACAATTTTGTCATCACCAATGCCTTCCTGTTTGTCTTATAAAGTGGTAGTAATCTAGTTGATTTCCCAATCTTTTTGTAACACAGACCAAGACATTGCTTTGTTGAAATATGTCTCGCTTACTAATACTGCAATTTACAGAAGTTAATTCTCAGGAAGTAACATCTCTTTTCCCAGAATTCTCAAAAGAAGATGCACTTCGACTTAATTGCAGCACCGCTGAATGCATCTGTAGCAACCCCTCACTGAATTTGTCATTACTTGAAAAAAAATATTTTTTTTATACCTTTATATCTTTTATACCTTGTTTTATACCATTTAAGTGAAAGGAGGCTGTTCACAAACTAAAATGAGTTTATCCTTGTAACTTTCAAGTACAAGGAATTGATTGAATTGATTGTGTGTTTAAGCAATAGGCATACATGGTAGTGGCACAGAGTGGTAATCAGAAGAGTTAGGAAATACCAATGTACAATCTAAAAGGAATAGTACAAAATGCCAAGTTAAAATTTCACACGAAATGTCTAGATAAAAGATGAGATAGATAGGAAAAAGGACAAAAAGCTGTAAGAAATCATTCAGAGATTTAATAACATTTCTGTTTATCATTAAACAGTGGGCCAGAAAGAAAAGGATCAAGTTGATAGTTGACCCAGAGTATGAGACCAGCTCCACTGGAGAAGACAGCGCTCCTGATTCCAGCCAGAGGAATCGTCTTAATAACCCCAATATTCAAAACAACGTCAACGGTAACATCTACATTGCACAGAATGGCTCTGTTGTCAGAACCCGTCGTGTTTGCCTTGCTAATAATTTAAAAGTCACATCTCCAGTGAGGCTGGGGAAACAATTCAAGAAACTGGACAAGCTTGCAGTGACACATGAGGAGAATGTCCCACTGAACACATTGTCAAAGGGACCATCTTCTAGTGATAAAATGAACACGAGGCCTTGTAGCGTCTCATTTGCTTCCTCTATAGGGGCTGAAAACATAGTAGCAAAGCCAGGCGGCTCCAAAATGAAAAGCACAGAAGAGCAGGAATCAGTTGTTGATAACGAGGATGTCAAAGAGCCCTTGGAGTCACACAGTGAACACACACAGTCAGATGAAGAGGAGCTCTGGATGGGCCCTTGGAATAATCTTCACATACCAATGACAAAACTGTGATTTTTTTTTTTAATTTTAATTTTTACTTCAGTTTATAATAAACTGCGCTTTTTATTGTCACTGAAGAAAATGTATGAAGTTTGTATCATGCACATATGTTGTATACTACAAATTACATGCTTTAAAGTTTAAAAAAAAATTTGCACTCACATTTGTACCAATTAATTGTCCCCCCCCAACAACTGTTTTGACAGGCTCCCATTTCACTAAACAATACTTCATTTAAGTTAATTAGATTTTTTATCTTGATTTATTGTTTAATAAATAGTAAACTACTAATAACTGCACAGCAACATTTGGTTAACTTTTCAGACGGTTCTATACATGCCTAGCTTGTTTTTCCTGTAATGGTACTTGTGGCTATACTGTTTAGATTTGGAAAATTGTCTATTTATGTTCAAGATTTATATCCAGAGCTCTTGATTCTGAACTCAGAGTAATAAATTAAAAATAAATCCATGAAAGTCAATGGAGCAGATCTGCTGGTTTAAATTTGAGTAACAATACCAAAGTCAATAGTGATACACCATTTTTTTCCAACAGACGATCTCACTCAATACTGAAATAGCAAACTAATGTAAGAGTGGAATCGGGGTTTGTAAGGCTGTAGCATTGTTAAACAGGAAAGTGGAATAGAAGATTAAATAAGATAAAATTGCAAAGAGGAAGAAAATGTAGAGCAATTAATCTTATTCAGAGTTACCTTGCTGTGGTTTGTTCATTTTCTTTTGTAAATTAGCTCATTCCAATTTTCTTCTCTAGTCAATTTTTCATCTTTTCATCTCTTCCCAGATCAGTGCTGTTTTCTTCTTTATATGGTCTTTAGCTCCAGTTTTTATGCTCCATCAATAATTGTCATTCTATGGCTATATTCCTCTGAAATAAACCAGGATGATACAGGACTCTGTGAGATAGAACTAGGTATAAAAAGTAATTAATGAGAAGGGGATAGATACATTTTCAAGCCTAGCTAGCTTTTGGGTTAAATGGTACAATCACCATTCCACTCTGATAGTGTTGAACATAAACCTGCTGTAAAGACAAATGGATCATGGTGAAGGGGATAAAAAGCGAACACTTTCTGAGACTAATATGCAGAAATGCAGCTGTGAAGGGCAAGGGGTGTCAGAATACAGAATTGTTTCAAAATCTTTTAAGTGAGCATTACTTGTAAAATACACTGCATAAAATACTGGTAGCTGCTTTTAATTTCTGTTTATAACTCGAGCTAGTGAGTGTGTCACGTTACAAATTCAACAGGGAGCTGAGAAACATCATTGTTCATAACCACCAAGTAATACTTAAAAGATATTAACAATGCAGGGCAAAGTATTCTCCTCCAAGGTGATATTAAGAAAAAACATATGTGTATATTTATACATGTGAGAAAAGTGTCCTGGTGTGTTATGCCAACTTTTTCTTCAGGATGAGATCAAACTAGTTGTGAGAGCAATATGGGTACCTCTTGAAAGATGGAAAGAGTCCACAGCTAAATGCGTGCAACTAATAAGGAAAGGATTGGCATCATCATTCTTTCCCTGGTGCTGTACCACAAGATCTGGATGACAATAGCTGTTGGTTCTGCTCTGGCAGTGAATGGACTTGTGCTGCTTTGATTTTGTTCATTTTTCCCTTTCACAGGTTATCCTACAGGAAATTCCTCTTAATGTTTGTCTTCAGAAGCTGTTTGCATGTTACGGTGATGTAAATGTCACATTTCTGTCAAATACCTCCTTTTCAACCTGAGGTTTCCGACCAAATATTTTGAGATGGTGCTTGTTTTTGGGCATAAGAAATGCAACATAGACTACCATATGAGAAAAAAAAAAAAAAAAGACAAAAAAAAAAAAGACTGGGTATTTCTTGCTCCTCTTTTTCCCTTGGCATATATGAACTTGCTACCTAACAAAAAATAGCTGTTTGGAATTTAGCTAGATTCTGAACATACAGACAAGAACGATGGAAGGAACAAAAACAACAAAAAATCTATTATTTGAAATATCTAGTAAAATGTTATATTTTAATCCTGTTTAAGATACTGTTGTTATTTCGCTGCATCAGTTTTTTTTCAAGATCTGTCAATTCAATTTTTACTGCAGACTCTAGGGTCATAACGCTTTTTAGAGGAACATCATCTTCCAGCTACTCTCAATTTTCTACCTACCTGTTTTCATTAGAGACGCACAGCTCTGCCAGCTTGCGTGCTGTGAAGGATTGTCATGCCTATCACTGGTGGTCAGCAGTACAGTGCATGCTTATCAAGCACAAAACCTGTCAATACCTTCTCTTTTGTGCTGTCCATGTGCTCATATCTTTTCCCACAATGCAAAGAGCTTAAAAACTTTCACCCTTTCAGGAATGGGCAGGGTTTGTCTAGAATCTAACTTGATTTTAGCTAAACTTGTAAAGACTTTAATGACCTGAATGAATACTGACTGAAAATAAAGGGCTTTGTAAAATCTTTTACAGGTTCAGAAGACTTTAGGGGTGTATTTTTTTTTCCTTTTTTTTTTTTTTTCCTCCCTCCTGTGGCTGTAACACTATAAATAGTGTAAATTAATACAGATTTTAAACTGTTAGCAGACAGTGGGCGCCAGAACCAGTAGCAATAACAGTACATGCTGATAGAGTAAAAAATGGTCACATCCACTTTCTTGTGGCAAGTTTTGTATTAGCATTACTTTTATGGATACAGTAAATAAAATAGAATATCTGGGTCTTGGGATATAATTTTCAGCTATTTAACCACTGAAATTTGCAGAGCTGATGATGCAAGGCATAAGTATTTTCCCCTGGGTGGCACAACTGCTCAATGGCTGACCGATGAAGGTGATACTCATTGCTCCTGACATTGATTTAATTTGTATGCTCCTCTAAGCAGGCACTAACAGTTTGATGGCTTGTGCTATGTCTTCCATACAAGAAAGGTTCCAATGACAGACCTGGTGGCTTGTAGAAGGGCAGTGCAATACTGTGAGGCAGGACAAGGTGTGTTTGGGAAAAAAAAAAAAAAGAAACTTCCATTATTTTTCTTTAAATGTGTGCTGCTATGAGCAATATTGCCAAGAAATCCCCACGCAGGGCCTTGTTAGGGTGCTTAAAAGGTTTAAGTATTAGTGGTACACTCCATGCACCCATTATTTGCCTGAGTGGGTATGGGGGAAAAGGACAGCACAATTGTGATGGGTACTGCACCTGTCTTGGTACCTTCTGCCTGCAGTGATTTCACAATAGGATCACTCAGCATCTCTAGGGCTGAATCCTTCCAGAAGCTAGTCATGTAGCTGGAAAACTTTGCAAGGACAGTAAAATGCAAAAGAGATGGAAAATTCTGATTTATTGATTTATTTATTTTTTAGAAGTGGTAGAACAGCAATCTCGTACACAAATCTCAGCTTCCGGAATTGAAAAACACAGTGGGAACTGAGTATTTTGAAGCAGTCACAACCATGAATTGTGCTCTGGAAAGCATCGTGCTTATCAGAACAGCTTGTGTAGCTAAAACCATCTCTTCTGGTTCAAAGCCGTGGTGGTTCCAGTTTCTTGTAGTGGTCATCTCCAGGCTGCTTTTGCACAATCCCAGTGGTTGGGGAACATGTTCTTTTTATATCAGTTTGTCTCTAGAAAATATCAGTTGTAACTCAAACCGTTACAAACACATTAAATTTTGCAGCCAATCAGTGGTGATAAACACTTCTTACCCTGTAAGATTAATAATTTTGCTGCAAATGGGGGTATAAACTTGAATGCTTTTTCATCAAGCCCTGGCTTGTGGCTGTGCAAATGCACAACTAGCTAGAAATAAAATAGGCAGCAGCTCCCTTCTGTGTAGCACATGCCTGCATGGCTGACCCTTCAAGCGCTGCACACAGAAATGGTAACTTTAAGTTACCACTGACTTCCCTGTTTTTTGTAGTCTAAGAAAGGCTTGCATTTATTACAGAAGTATTGATAAACAACAAGGTTAGATAAATCCCTCAAGAAACAGATGACAGTTTATCAAATGAATTTTGAAGGCAGCTGTTTCGCAGAAGCCTATTAGATGAGCACTGAAAAATACTACCTTTTTTCTTTATTATTGGAAGAAGAGCATTTCAGTAATTTCACTGTTTGGACTTGGAGCACTAAGCCCAGGTGATTAAATGATAAAGCTGTCACACAGACCTGGATCAATAGTGAAGCAGCAACGCGAGCAGAATTGGGTAATTCACATGTAACCAAAGCTTTCAGGGTGGTACCAGCCCTGTCAGACGAAACATGGTTTATCTTTCTAACACTGATCGTTGCTCTTTACCGATACAGGATAAAACAACAATGTTCCTTCTGTGAGCCACCCAAGAGCAGCACCATTCCTGCAAACTGCACGTTTTCAAGCAGAGGCTGTTTGTGAGACTGCCATGATAGTCACAGTGAGTTGCAGCATCCCAAGGAGTGTTTGCCTCTCCCCATATGGATGCTGTAGAAACATACAGGTGGCCGTGGCATGCAGGAATTGCTGCCCTTTGGCTCCCACTAAGCAGACAGCGTGGACTGAGCAGGTGTGGGCAGCCAGTGTTGAATTCAGCAGAAGTGGATGCAAACTCCTGATCTGAGCTGTGTGGAGCAACTCCTTGCAAATAACTGATTCTAGCCCAAGGGAGTTTAAATGATATGCCCACAACCTGGCAAAGAGCAGCAGTTTCCACTTAGAGATGGGGGAAGAAAACAGAGCTGCTCAAGCAGCAAATCCACTGGGGCTCTATGGGAAGAAATGTGGAGATCCTTGCATTTATCCTATTTTGCACAGCTGTGCAGCTCTTAACCAGTATTTGGCTTTCAGGAGGTCCCATTCCTTGTTCATATGGCAGAGAAACTACAGCTCTGGACAGACTGACTTTGCTTGGAGTGGATGATGGCTTGTAAGTTCTTTGCACCGCATTCAAAAATGTGTTTGGGGAAGGGACAGTGTCTGCAAAGTGTCCCTTTTGCTGCTCTTTAAAGAGCAAGGACAAGATGCTGTGTTCACACACTGTTAAAAATCTCTTCACTCTTAAAGCTCTTCCAAAATGCCTAAAGAATTTAGGCCTAACCCTTTTAAACCAAGAAAGGTAAAATTGGCCCCTCTTACTGCACACAGCTTAAGATTTCATTCTCTGCTCCCAGAGACTGTGGACATGATACCTGGTAAAGACAACTGTGAGGGCACTCGGGCTGACCCCATTGCAGCAGGCATCAGGAAATTTGCAAGTGCCTGTTCCCAGGGAGCGTGTTCCTGCCAGCCCTGTGAGTGCTCGAGGAGTCCTGTCAGTTTTCTGGGGAGCTGGGGATGGGGCGGTTACAGGAGGGCAGCTTTGGTGCAGAAATGAATGTTGTGTAGCACTGGAGCGAGGTTCAGTTTTGTATCAATAACTGAGGGAGGATAAGACGTCTTCACATTGCTGACATGGCCAGGCCATTTTGTGTATCAGTGTTGCTGAGCTTGTGAGTTAATGGTTTGTCGATGATGTACGCTTCTGTCTCTGCCTGCCCACATATAATCTGTTGTTTTTTGAGGGATGTATACGCTCATGTTGTGCCTCCTGTTAACCGATGATCACTTAAATACACGTGCTTGCGAGTTTCCATTCCCCAGGGCAGTGGTCTCACAGGAGTTTGGCAACTTGCAGCTAGGTGGCTCATAGAAGTGCAGCAAATGGCTGTTGGTCACGCAGGTTGGAGCTGATGGTATTTTACTTGGGCATGAATTATGCCTAACCTCTCACAGGTAATTAAGTTTGTAATATGCTACAGTTTGGCAGACTGCACTCTTTCTGTGGAGCCACTGGCAAGGACTGCAGCTTAACTTTGGTCCATTGTGCAGTTGGTTGCTGTTTTTTTGTGGAAAACAAAAAGTGGCAAACCCACTGTGTTTACCATTCTGATGTATCTGCTGCTCCACAAAGTTACTATTTAGACTCTCCTAACTGAGTTCACAGAAACTACTTTGTCATGATTTCTTTAGTAACTAAGAAAGAATTTCTTATTTCCTTGATAAAGGTCACCAAGGGAAATTATATCAAGGTCATTATTTAATCTAATTAATTTTTCACAGGTAGAAACATTTTTTTTTTATATATATTACATTTTAGAAATTAGACCTAGACAGCATTTCTGTAACAGCATTCTAACTTGTTATCTCAGAAATACTGTTAAAAGGCTGTTTTAATGAAAAAGGGAAATGCAGTTTTTAAATATTTAAAATATTAAGCAGGGTCTGCCCTGATTTACTGTTACAAAAAGCTATCACAGCATGCTAGTCTTAGGAAGAGGGGTTAAACAAAATGGTAAATGCTGATTAGTCACCACTGTTTAAATGAGAAACATGAAGCATAAGAATGCAATAAACTATAAAACTTAATACCATAATCAAGCAAAGTGAGAATAGCAAATATTTATGTCCCCCCCCATCAATTTAATTTACTGAGAGATGTTTTTCCTTTGCAGACTGAAAATGCTCCATAGTTTATAATCCACAATCAATACGCATAACCAAAGTATAAGGATGGGTATTCTAAGTAGACTTTGTGGCACAAAGTGGCCTGCAGGCCCCTTGAAAGACCTTCACAATGTGGTGAAGCACTGGTTGTGGCTAGAGTTTTTTAAATCCCCTGAGTTAGAAGCATAGTAAGGGAACACAACTGGTGCTCCCAGATGGGACATTGAGAAGCTACACATGAGTATGCCACTGGCTCCTCCTTCATTTCCTTAAAAACCTGAAGCAAGGACAAGAGAGACAGGACTTTGCACAGAGAGATACCCAGTCTATCACAGATGCTAGAGTGCAGGCACACTGGGCCATGTGCTACCCAAGCTAATTACCCTGCCAAGATGA